CTGAAAATAGCTTCCTTCAAGGAATTAACCTTCACCATAAAACTGAGTTAATTCCCTTCTTGAATGAAAATTTCTCTGGCATTGGAAAATGTGTATTTAATGCAAAATTGGGTGCACATCTCTAGTTCACACTACTATTGATATTTGTCAACATTTATTTTACTAGTATCTTTGCAGCTCTTCCTTCTAGACTTTAATACTGTCCTTTGAGTTCAGTTTTCTTGTTGAAGTAGCTATTTTTTTTTTTAGTTGAGTTTTGGACTAAATGTGGGACATGGGAGAAAATAAAGGAGTCAAGGATTGTTTCTAAGTTTTTAAGGTGGTCTGAGCAATTGGCAGAAGAGTGGCCTTTCATCAGGATAGGCAAGAAGGTTAAGAACAATTTTTAAAACTTGGGAAAATATCAAGGGGCGTGGGGAGAAGGGTGCCCTGTCATTTAGTATGTCAGACCTTGTCAGCTCTAGGTCTGTTGATGAGTATTCCCCCTGGGCAGCTCCCTTAGTGCCCCAACCAGCCTCACCCAGTTTGGACTCAAGACTCTTCACATCAGAGCTCGGCAGTGAAAGAGTTTTCCCCTCTACTTCCTCAGAACAGCCATCCTCCCTCTTCTCAAGTCAGGCACACCCTGGGAGTCAGGCAGTGTCCCTGTCCTTCCTGAGCCCAGCACTGTTGTCATGTATGTAATATGAGCCACATACGCAGTTTTGAGCTCTTCGGTGAATCCATTTTTAAAAACAAGAGCCAAGTGATTCAATTTAATAATATTTTTATTGTGATAGAGCTAAAATGTTATAATTTCAACATGTAATCCATAAAAAAATTAATGAGATACTTTTGTCCTTTTTTACTAATAGATTGTTGAGATCTGCTATGTAATTTAGACTTAAAAGGCATCTAAATTTTGTTTTTTTATTGTTTTGGTTTTCTTCTGTGGAACTGGGAATTGAACCCAGGATGATAGTCTAGCACTGAACTAAAGTACCCTTTTTTATTATTCTTTTTTAGACAGGATCTAAGTTTTCCAGGCTGACCACAAACTTGTACGCTACTTACCTCAGCCTCCTGAGTGACTGGGATTACAATCACCCAGCCACATCCATTTTAATGTTTAATTTTCATTGGAAATATTTGATCTGTATTTAGGTATTTAAAAATTCACAATCAAATTACATGTTTAGGTTGTACCTACTCATTTTCTTCCAATTGCATCAAGATTGTCTTTTAAGTTTAAAAACTGAATAATATTTTGAAATTTAGGTTTCTACCAGCTATATCCACTCAAAGTGCTCAATTGCCTCATGTGATTAGTGGGAAGTATTTTGATGACAAAACTCTAATCTATAAACTCAAATTAATGAATCATTCCTCTTTTGTTTCTCCAATATCTAGGAAATTTTTGAACATGTTTTGTTAAATAGACAAATGAAATATACTAAAATAATTACTAATAAACCTCAAATACCTCCTTACACAAGTGAGAAAAAATAACTTGTTAACTTTAAAAATAAAAAAATAGATTCTACTAGGATCGTGTAGAAAAATAGACTATAAAGAGAAGATGCTGAGTTTTCTGGGGGTTTATTGGTTTGTGGGGAGTGGAGGAAGAATCAGTATGCAAATAATGGAGATCAGTTTGGGCAGTATAACTCTCAAGCAAGCCCTCAAGTTTATAAAACATTCTGGGGAGGAGTGTTGTGCACCCACCAGTGCTTTTAGCTACTCCAGAGGAGCCCAGGAGTTACCAATCATCTTGAGCAAGCTCTTAGCTACTCCAGAGGAGCGCAGGAGTTACAGATCAGCTTGAGCAACACTTGTTTTGTGAAGGGAATTAAACCCAAGGTCTTGAGCATGGAAGACAAGCATTCTACCAACTGAGCTACATGCCCAGCTCAACTCTTGCTGTCTATAAAAGGAAAGAAAAGAATGGGTGGAATCCTAGGAGAAGTTGTCCCTGTAATGTGGGTCAAAATTCTTCCACTAGCACCTCTAGTTGAGATCAGATAGAAACCATTCCTTCAACACCGCTTCCCCTGGTTGCTAATAGTGCACCTTGGATTCATTGAGTTACCCACTGATTCATGTGCTAAGTGGCTACTAACTGCCAGCACTTTACCAGGTCCTTTTTTTTTTTTTTCCAGACAGGGCCTCTGCAACTCCTGGACTTAAGGCAGCCTCCTGCCTCAGCACTGTACCAGGTATATTTGCAGACAAACAGGCAGGAGGTCTTTAAAAAAAAAAAAAGTCAGATGATTAAAACAAGGGAACTATATGCTAATACAATTGAAGGAATAAGAAATGGGTAGAAAGACATAAATAAAGTAAAAGAACATAAGATTTTAATTTAGAAGTTCTAAATAAGGTTTTCAGGCCTGTCGCTTTCTAAGCTTATTTAGCTTCCAAGCCTGGAACTCCCAAATTCCTGAGAAACCTGTAACTCTACCTGTGTCCTGTTTATTAAACCTCACTAAATGGATTAAAGAAAGAGGCAATATTTGAAGAAATCTATAATTTAGGGCACTTTCCAGCACTACTACTGGATAGTAATAAAGACTACATTAGCATAAGGATCCTGAGAATGAGCAGACTACCCTGTGTGTCATCTACATGCCTTTCCATACCCACCCCTCACCAAAGTTCTTTATAAGAGGAGACTGGATCCCCAAACATGTCTCACTCTAGAGTAGCCCACATTCTTTCTTGAATTGATATTCCTTACTTTACCCCAAAATGTATGTCTCTAAGACCACCTGCATTCTCCTTGAATTTGTTTCTACTTTCCTAAGTAAACCTCTGTCTATCTTCTAACTAGGTAGGTAGAGAGCCATAGCAGGTAGCCTGGAATCCCCAGACAGGAGGTGTTCTGCCTTTTTTTTGTCCTAAGCTTCCTTTATTCTCCTGCCTTTTCCTATCTTTTTCCTTCCTGCATATGTGTCTAGGTCTGGGACCAGGTCCAGGAGTGCTTGGTGGGATGGCCCAAAGGTGGGAAACAGGTGGGCTGAAGGGGGAAGGGCAGAATGGAGCACACAAGGATGGGATGGCAGCCTTTTCCCTCCATGTAGGGAGGAGCCATTCCTGGGATGGGTTTCCTTGGCAATAGATTGGCACTGGGGCAGTTTCTTGATAAGGGTGGAGGGAGGGCTCTGAAGGAATTAACATCTCAATCCCTCAGGGGACAGTCTCCAACTTCCCAGACTCAATCAAAATTGGCCTCCTTGATCCGACCTGACTCGATTTACCTATCTCTACTGACTGACTGTCTGATTCTGGCTTCACTAGCATGAGCTAAAACCCTAGTTCAATTCTCAGCATTGTAGAAGAAAAAAAAAATGTGTATTCCTCAATCATACTAGTTCTAACTCTGATGTGATGATTTATACTTCTGCACTCCTCTTTCTATGTCCTTTTGCAGTTGCAGCATGTATCCCTGGATCCTTCTCTTACCTTTATGAAAGTACATTTTGTGACTAAAGAAATCAGCTCATCCTCTTTGGGTGAATTTCTTTAGTATTTTACACTCTTTTTCTCTGCATTTCTAACTGCCTTCTGTATTCCTGCCATTTTCCAGTTAATCTAGTCTAAATTTAGTCTCGTTTTCTTTCTCTTTTTTCTCTACTAAGTACACTGTATAATCAAAATTTTCACATTTTTAATCTGAGAACAACACAAGCTTTCTCTTTTCCAATACTGGCCCTAAATCATCTCTGCCTGAATCATCATTCTAATTCTACCACTTACTAGTAAATGGTAATTGAGGCAAAGGTACTAGCCTTGAGTACCTAATACCCTTTTCTGTCAAATGGAAAAAGTAGTAGTTTTAATCACATAGGTCTTTTAGGATTAGATAAGTACATACAAAACACATTAGCTATTCTGAACGTTGCTACATTGTCTAAATTGGGAATAAGAAAGACAGACTTGAATTCCTATTCAATAAGTTTTCCTTCACTGAAGTGAGAAATACAAGTTATTTTGTCAGACAAATATGTGACTGATTAAATTCCCAGTGCACTGCCATTAAAGTGTCACTCCCCCTCACAGGCAAAGGCCCTTGTGCACAAGAACCCTGCTGCCTGCCCACTGGCTTGTGGCTGGGGCAGCCCTGCAGGAAAGTGTAGCAAAGTACTGAGGAGTTTGGAAGCACCCTGAAGAAAGGAAAGAATTAGCATGTTATCAAATTCAGGAAAAAGAAAACAATAAGGAACTAAAAATAAACTTTAAACACCAGATTTCCATTTCAGATTTTTTTTCTTATAATCTTTTCACAATTGCATTTAATCACTTGATTTTTGTACTTCACTCTGTGACTAAACTAGGTTCATTCCTTTCCAACTGGAATGATTTGGCCATATGAGCTAAGAAAATCTTTCCAGTGTTAACTCCCTTTAAGAACTGCTAGGTTGCTTGCTCTCTGTAGTGTGTTCCCCTTTGTCTTCCTGTTGTATTTGTTCAGTCTTTTAACATTAGGACACCCTGTCTTCATAATTATCTGGGAGACTTCTTATCCCCTAGATCTTCAGTATTCCTCCTTTTCCTCCTATTGGTCTAGAATATAAAGATCTAAATCGAAAACAAAAAAGTGAATGAAATTGGTCTAAAATATAATACAAATCTAAAATGAATAAGAAGTGAATAAGGAAAATCTAAAATTAAATACAAGTACAAATCTAAAAATACAGCTTATCCAGAAGTTCTTAAATTGGCCCCTAAGTTTCCAAATTGTACCATGAGCTTCACAGCTGTGGCATCTCATACTTTTTAAAACCAAAAAGCAAACTAATCTCAATTGTTCCCAATAAAAAGGCTCTATTGTCTAAAATGTAAATTAGATTAAAGTAGCTGCCACATTTGCTGAAAAGCTGCTCTCAGGATTTGACCAATGGGACAGTAGGTCTAGAATACTTCCTTGCTCACGGGACTACACAAATGGACCAATCAGAGTTTAGAAAAGTAATACCTCATTTGCATAAGATTGTCTACAAATAAGCAGAGTCAGAATTTAGAAGCCTCATTCTTCTCGGAGTAGCTAAAGATGCCTGAGCCAGCGAAATCCGCTCCTGCCCCCAAAAAGGGCTCTAAAAAGGCGGTGACCAAGGCGCAGAAGAAGGACGGCAAGAAGCGCAAGCGCAGCCGCAAGGAGAGCTACTCGGTCTACGTGTACAAGGTGCTCAAGCAGGTGCACCCCGACACCGGCATCTCGTCCAAGGCCATGGGCATCATGAACTCGTTCGTGAACGACATCTTCGAGCGCATCGCGGGCGAGGCCTCGCGCCTGGCGCACTACAACAAGCGCTCGACCATCACGTCCCGGGAGATCCAGACGGCCGTGCGCCTGCTGCTGCCCGGGGAGCTGGCCAAGCACGCCGTGTCCGAGGGCACCAAGGCGGTCACCAAGTATACTAGCTCCAAATAATCGGTCGTGCCAATGCATTTATTAAACCCAAAGGCTCTTTTCAGAGCCACCCAACTGTTCTCGAATGAGTTGTGCACTAATGTAAAATTTGTTCCTGGCAGCTTGTAAAGTTAGTTCTTAATAAAATGCAGCCTCTTGGGTGGCTGTCTACCAGCTGCGATTTCAGGGTGTTATTGTATGCGTGACTGCTACAGAATCTCTTCCTGAAAACGAGGATGAGTCCCAAACTCACTCAGGCAGTATGTGAGTGGCCTTCGGCTCTTCATGAAATTGGTCACTTAATATGAGACAATTGACCATCTATGGTACAAGTGGAAGTCCCCCCCCCCACGTCGGCCCCTTGCTTGTCTCCCTTCCTGTCCTTTGCTGCTCCGTTCTGCCTGTGATGTCAGTTTTTTTTGCTTTTCCGGTTCATGTGCTAACTTGGATTTGGGCGACAGCAATCAGTACCTTTGCCTTCCCTGCTGTGACTAACAAACCAAGCATGTAGAAATTAAAACCTCAGTATTCAGATACCTCTCCTCATTAGAGTGGCAAAGGCTATCGGATTCACTTCAGAGTCTTCAAACCACCTCTACTTGCAAGAGTCTCCCCCTTTTCAGTCTGACCTATGTAATTGTGAATAGGAGGGATGAAGGGACTGCCCAGGTCATAGTGTGAAAAGAATAATTGTGGAAATGTTCTTGTTCTTTCTCTTTTTTGATGGGGATTACTGGGGGTTGAACCTATATTACAACCTGAGAGCTGAATACATGTGCTCTACAAGAGCTACACCCCACCATAAGGGGGGGGGGGGTGTAGCTGGACCTTGGACCTTGAGGTCTGCAAGTCTACAAACCTGCAATCATTTAATGTCCAACAGACTAAATTCCAAGTAATAAACAGCTGAGCTTCCCTTCCTCACTTCTCAAGTCACTGTAGGGTAGAAGCTGTCATGAGGGAGGTGGGCTAGAAAAGTTTTGCTGGGAGCTCTTTATTCATAAGTGGAAATGCTACATCCACTCTAGAATACTATCACTACCTACAGAGGGTCCTTGAGAAACACTCCTAGCCAGCCTTCCCAGCCAGTTCGCTAGCCTAGCTTTTGTTCTTTGAAGAAAAAATAAATGTAAAGAGAGAAACAAGTATTTTAAAGTTACCAAATTGCAACTGCATTTCCACTGTACTCACTAAAGGTGTAGTTTCAGATGATACTGAAAATTCCTGGCCAATGGGGAATCCAATTTTCATTACAGAGTCACAGACCTCATTTTAAAGGCACACCTGACCATGTATCACCCATACCCTAAGCCTTTGTGCTCTCAGCACAAAATCAGAACACTGCTGTGGCCTCCAGCTCTGCATAGTGTGTTCTCATCTAAATATGTAACCCAACCTCAGAATATTAATTTTCTGCTTTTTGTTTCTCATTTTTCTCATTTCTTCATCTTTTTTCCAGATTTTGAAAGTCCCAATGATTTCTTCAAGCTTTGAAATTTTCTTTGTCCAATTGCCCCCTGATTATACAAACCTCCCCAACAAAGACATTAGTTGATTGATCAAAAATTCCCGTCTCAGCTAAATTATCATATTCTTGGAGATTATGGTGTCCAAGGCCAATCTCAGAAAGTTAGCAAGGCTGTAAGCAACTTAGCTAGACTGTGTTCCAACATACAAAATAAAAAGGGCTGGGATGTAGGTCCATGGTAGAGCACCCTGAGTTCAATCCCCAGTACGGAAAATAAATAGTGCAAAGCCTACATGTCAAACAATGAAGCTGAGATTGATTTTTCAGAAAATAAAATGTTACTGAAAGCTCCTGAGCAGAGAACACATGATCAACTCGCTTCCAGTAGCAGGATCCTAGAAGAATTGGAGAAAAATAATATTGGTGAAAGAAGATAACTGTTCAAACAAAAGAAAGAGCAGCAGTAATAGAGCAGTGGATACAGGAAACAAATCTTAGAGCAGTCCAAGAGTTCCCATGAATTATTTTTCCTAGTTTCTGTTGAAATTTCTCTGTGCTAAGTGTTGAGATTCAGCATCAAGGAAGACATACAAAAGCCAGCTCTCCTGGGATGACTAGCTTAGTCCCCAGAGAAAAGAGATGGTAAACAAGTTGACAACTGAGCAAAGCAATTCAAATAAAGTTCTATGAAGAAATAAAACCAAGGGCCATGATTGTGATGAGGTAACACTTTAGAGAAAGGAACCAAAACTCTAGGAAGTAAAAATTCTGGAATAACGTAACTGTTGGTACAAAAAGTCTAAAAGTAGAAAGGAATTTGTGCCTAAGAAATAAAAGGCTTATGTCTGGACATCTCTAATCAAAATTATGAGAAAGTGAGTGAAACAAACACCTGCTCATGTGGGAAACAAATATGCAAAAAGAAGGCTTATTTGTTTTGTGATAGCACAACTGGAATTTTAAACACTTTTTAAGTTGCTATGTGGAAAAATGGATTTTATAAAATTTAAAGTAGCAAGAAACTAGAAAAAAATGAGAGGTTATTTCAAATAATCATGGTGAAATTACTAGTAAGATTCAGAAGAAAAGAAATAATTGATGAACTGGCTGATATGGATGAAGAAACAAGTGAGTGAATTTACTGAGCCTTTATTTGTCTTACTCTGTGAAACAGAGTAACTGAGACTGAGTAACTGATAATGAACAGAAAGCTATTTCTCTCAGGTCTACAGGCTAGGCATTAAAATCTGGCCGAGGGCCATCTGCTGCTATATCATCTCAAGGCAGACGACAGGGCAAAAGAGAAAGGGGCTTAACTCAACCTAAAAGGTCTCCTAAATTATGGACTCAGGAACAACAGTGGCTAGCAAATTACTACAGACCACAAAGATAAAAAACACCAGTACATATCTTTATGGTTCAAATGCCAACTTCTTTTTCTGCATGCCTCTCAAATGTCATGAGAAATGAAAACAGTTATAGAATAACAATGATAACCAAACATTATGTTTATCATGACCCATGCACTGGTCAAAAGGCTCCACAAATAATTTTATTCAGTATCAAGCCTATAAGACAAATAGTATTCTTATTCATACATAGGTAAAAGGCTCAGAGAGGTCAAGTAACCTGAACAAAGACACATTAAGAGCACTTTTCAGGACTGTTTCCCAAACATCAAAGGGTATTGAGACTGTTTCCTGTAAACATATGATTATGCTTAATCACAGACTACTAAATATTAATGTCTTATTAAATACATTTATTAAAATAATAAATAGAAGAAAAATCAATGGGCCTCATGATAAAATGCATTTTAAAGTCTTCTTTCATAATAAGACTAAAAATAATATTGTGAGACTCAGTCTCTCAGGTCTCTGAGAATTTAATTCTTTCAGAATGGATAATCATGCATTCTGAAATATAACACTATTAAAGAGTTGATCTAACTACTCAAGAATATGTAGAGCTTCCATACTCAGAGAAGAAATGATGACAAAATAAACACTCTTATTCAAGGTGTTCTCCAATATTATGTCTCCCCTTATCTGTCTATCCTTAAATTTTGAGTCTCCAGATCTCAGGCCCTAACATCCTAGAAGGCAGGTTGTTGTCAGGAAATCCATGGTGCTCTGGGACGCCCTTGGGACCCTAAAAAGATAAAAGCTCATGAAATGTGTATGTCCCTACATATATTCTTAAGCACATTCTTTTCGGCAGTTTTTGATTCATATATTAAGAAATACTGTTGGGGGCTGGGGATATAGCTGAGTTGGTAGAGTGCTTGTCACAAATCCTCAGGTTCAATCCCCAGAACAACAAAAGAGCTACTGTTCTAAGGGGCGACAGTAACCAGATTATACCAGTTTATACAATCTCATTTATCTGTAGCACGAAACAGGGCCTCAATACACTTCCTACAATGTGACACAAGATCCCCCCAAAAAGCTCTTGCGACCTACATAGTAGTAGTGCAAGATTTCTTAAAGGTTCCCTCCGAAAATACTTGATGATTGCAGACTATTCCCGACAGTCTGTACCCAAAAACACCTAGTTGTTGGAAACACTGTAACCACGGTACAAAACCCTTCCGCTGGCATAACCAGAATGTGCTACAATAATAATGTAATGCAACCCTTTCGAGTGAAAGGATGGGTGGCCCTGAAAAGGGCCTTTGTAGAGAAAGGAAAGCGACTGCAAGGACAATACCACGGCTCAGCCGCCGAAGCCGTAGAGGGTGCGGCCCTGGCGCTTGAGCGCGTAGACCACGTCCATGGCCGTGACCGTCTTGCGCTTGGCGTGCTCCGTGTAGGTGACGGCGTCGCGGATCACGTTCTCCAGGAACACCTTGAGCACGCCGCGGGTCTCCTCGTAGATGAGCCCGGAGATGCGCTTGACGCCGCCACGGCGGGCCAGGCGGCGGATGGCGGGCTTGGTGATGCCCTGGATGTTGTCGCGCAGCACCTTGCGGTGGCGCTTGGCGCCGCCTTTGCCCAGGCCCTTTCCGCCCTTGCCACGGCCAGACATGCTGAAAGGAGAATTGGGTTCTCAGCACAATAAGCTCCTCTAGCCGCCAGAAGGCTTTTATAATAACCTAGCGGACCTGTTTGAAAACCACAAGAGCAGGGGCGGGAACTCCAGTCGGTACCCGCCCTTCTGCATATTTGTCTCTGGCTCACAGGAACCGGCCCGGAGACCCTGAGGCAACCTAGAACCGAGAAGTGCAATTTAAATGTGTGTGTATACACTCACATATTTTCTACAAACCTTGACACTTGCCCAACAATATGAAATAATACACGCTGTTATTCCTTATGAGATGCTTTAAATACAAATTGAATCAATTCACTTCTTTATTGTTTAACCTTCTTAAATGATTTTTACTGACTTATGGAGTCTAGAAACCTAAGCAGGGCTCTTTAGCATGCAGGCCTACTGGAAAAATAAAACTATGTGATGGCTACTGAATTACAGGATCAGGAGTGGAAAATAGAGAAAAATAATTCCATGTTTATTTTTACTATCCTCCAGTTACACTTTAGCATTTTCTTCACCTGAGAACAATAGAATTGACAGGATATGTGCTACTAATCACATCACATTCCAGCTGTCCATATCCTAAAATAGCATTTGAACCCATTACACCCGCACTAGTAAAACTTGAACATATGGGCTGATTAGGTTTAAATATGTTAAAATTGCACTACCTTGGTGATCACTTCCTTTGTAATTCCATGTATAATCCTCTGAAACTTTATATAACATTCCAGGAAGGGACCCAAAAGGCTCATCCGGCATGAATATAAATCCATGACACAACAATGAGTTAAGAATTCCTCATCTAGAGGCTCCTCAAAGAGTGAAATGAAAGGACCTGGGCTTCGTAAATGTTCAGAAAAGAGCACTAAATTCTATGAATGATTGAATACAAATTACAAATTAGAATAATCCGATGGAAATATATAAGTGGAAATGGCAATGACAACTTCATTAATGAAAGAAAAAATATTATTTTCCTTTCCTCCAATCTTAGAAAGTTTTCGTGTAAAAATAGCTTAAGTATTTCTTTACAATTGAAATGAAGAAAAAATGTTGTAGGAATTAAAGCTGGTTTCCATTTTTTTCCTTTTAAGGATAGGGGATGCACTGGGGATTGAGCCCAAGGCTTGGCACATGTTTTCTAGGCAAATCCTAATCCACAAAAAAAAAAAAAAAATTTTGAGACAGAGTTTGACTAAATTGCCCACACAGGCCTGGAATTTGCGATCTTGTCTCAGCCACCCAAGTAGCTGGGATTACAGTTGGGATGCTCAGACAGGAGTATGGGAATAAATTTAAAGGTGGAGATTGTTGAAAGAAAAGAAGTGCAAGTTCTGTGAGTGGCAGAAGGACTTTCCCCAACCACATTAATTATTTAAGACAAGCAACAAGAGAGCACCAAATCTGTCCAGGCAGATCTGATCACAACTGCTTGCCCCAAAGTAAAGGATACGCTCATTTAAAGACATTTATATATGGATAGATCTGCTCAGGGGTAGACATAACAATTTTAGGCAGATTTTTTTTTTTTTTACTTTTTTTTTTTAGATGTTAATGGACCTTTATTTTTTACATTTATTTATATGTGGTGCTGAGAATTGATCCAGGGCCTCACACATGCTACCCAAGTGCTCTACAGCTGAGGAACAACCTACACTAGGCACATTTTTGATCTTGTGGAAATTGGCATAAACTCCATGAGAGATTTCGATATAGCTTAAGAATAGTTAATCTCTTACTAAAAATGAATAAGATTTCAGCCTTTGAATTCCTTGTTACTCTAAATATGGGATAGACACCTTGCTATGTAAATCCAGGCAATAAATAATTCTTGCTAACTTTCTTTTTATTCCCCATGTTCAATCTATGTTCTGCATGACCTAAAGGGATCACTGAGCCAGAGACCCTGACAGTTTGCAATTTACAATACAGGCATATCTCCCAAGTCATAGGCCAAATAACCTCTGGATGTGATGACATGCACCTCTAACACTTGTTCAGAATTTTCTCAACATCTAAAGGAGATTATCTAAAGCTGCACCCTCAGCTATTGAGGATATGAGAAGTTGTTATTCTACTGTGCAATATAAGGTATATGTGATTTTGTCCCAAGTGTATAGTTCTTTTGTCCTTCCTTACATCTATGTAAATCTGTTAATGTTTACTCAGTAATAAATGCTGGGTTTTCTCTCTTCTATTTGGTACAAAGGTATCCATTCATTACCAGAATTATTTTATTTCTTCAAAATGTGAAGGGAATAAAGAGCCTCATAGAGTCACATTTCTTTATTTTACGTTAAATAGTTATATGGTTATTGAACAAGAATTATATATCTGGATTAATATTGGATTAAAACCCTTAGGAAAACAGACAGTATGGGCTATTTCAGAGTTTAATGTTAGATAGAAACTGGAATAACTACTTCGTTCATAATTGCTATTTATCTTCAATGATGTTAAGGCCCCAACGGGTGAGGCTTTTATTCAATGCAAAAGAAATAGCAAGAATCAAGTTCTCCTATGTCAGCAGTACTGCCCAGACTAACTGGTGCAGGAACAAGCATTTGGGAAATAATCATGATGGCAGAAGAAGCAACAGAAGGAGGTTCACGACACTCGTGGCTCCAGACTCTGTATATGGAAAACCCTTTCCTATCAATAATTGTATGATAGATGGATAAAACCAAATCCATACTTTGGATGTTTACAATCTCCTAGGAGGAAATTAAAATGAACAAGTATACACATAATATGAAATAGATTATAATGGCCATTAAAGTGATCAGTACAGGAATTTAAACTGGAAAGATTAAATCCCAAGGGATGGAAAATAACATATATAAAAATGTCAAAGTACATTCTTAGATTAGTTTAAAATATAATTTAAGCTGGGGAGAGAAAAAGGGGGAAAAATGGAAAAAAAAAGATACAGTGAAACATTAGAGGTTATGATCAATATCATGTAACTCATAAGAGTAAAATCGACACTCAAATACACATCAGTGTTTTTATACATTCCATGACAGTTGTAAATTACAGTGCAGAATGGTGATTCAATGCCATGATAAAAGACTTTGAATGCCTCATAAAAGAGAAATTCTTAAATCCTAAAACTACAGGAAAATGGGGCATAAAAATTTGAAGTGTTTTGTTTTCATTGCAATAAACAAAATGAATTAAAGTCCATAAAGATGGCAGTTCATAACCAACAAAGATACTTTGAAAATAGCCAATGCAGCTGCAAAATAAGAGAGCCGGAACCACAACCATGAGGAGGAAGATAAAAGATGAATTTATGAAGAATCCTTCAAACGTGCTAATAGGCTTCACATGGTGACAAAGGAAGGGGAAGAAGTGAGAAACTGAAGTGCAAACTAGTTAAAAAAAAAGGCATTGTTAGTAGGTCTTTTAGGGATGCGAATTATAATGTTACTTAGATAGAGTTGGTAATTTGGGGGGACTGCCGTGTACCCAAAAGTCAACAATGATAAGGAAAAAGGACAGGACTGCAGGACTAGCCTTCTGCAGTGTCCACACAAAACTTACAGATGAATTTAAGGAAGGTAAGAAAGGCACTCCATTGGACAATTCCTGCTAACTGAAGAAAAAACTCTTCCTAGGTGATGCAGCAGAAAATCAACTGTCATGAGTTAAATCCCTTTACATTGGAAAAACATAAGCTCCGTAGTATGTGAATAAATGCTCAAAGTAAAGTGACTTATACTAAACTGCTTTCTCATCTCAAACATTTAGATTATTTTGAATTTTTTTTTTTTGACATTTATTTTTTTCCTAGTCCAAGTTAGGTGTGCTACATGATGTATTCACACATTTGTTGCTTTAGATGGGATCAAGAAAAGGACAAGATGAAACCCTCAGCTTCTTTGGACTTTGTACCCAGCGCTTTGTGTGTGTGTGTGTGTGTGTGTGTATTTTTTTTTTCTTTTTTTTTTCCAGATGAACTCAGGGGCACTGAACCACTGAACCACATCCCAGTGTTTTACTTAGAGATAGGGACCCACTGAGTTGCTTCACACCCCACAGTTGTGGAGGTTGGCTTGAAATTGCAAACCTCCTGCCTCAGTGTTCCCAGCCCCTGGGATTTCATGCTAGCACCACCATGCCCAGCTGCACCCAGCATTTTTCTACTTCACAGTCATAATGAAATACAGAGTGTACATGCATCGAAATAAACATAATGTGTGTGAGGGGGGCATATCTTATAAGAAGTGAATGAAATAAAATTAAAACACATTCTGAAGACAGTCCTATACTCAATATGAAGAAGCTAAGTGGTACCACCTTCCCTCAACATTTGCATAAGTTGTAAATGTAGTACTTGACTATAAAGAATGTTTTTAAACTTGTGTGGGTGTGGGTGTGGGTGTGTGAATGCTGACACATTCCTTCATCTTATTCCTGAATACCTTTTCAAAGTCCCTCTTCCACATCTAAAACATAACAGACCTAATCTGCAGAGGGTCATAAACATTTTACTGATTTCCCCAAGCACAGCCAGTTCAAAGAATTATTTTTTAATTCATGAAAGAGTTCCTGTTTATAATTTCCACTGAATCGCCCTGAAATAAACTATGGTTTCAATTATTTCAGGAAGATTACTGACTATTCCATTTCCTTAAAGAACTGAACATTTGAACTCCCAAAATTAATCTTCCCTGAAAAACCACTATGATGCTTGTTGAGAGAGAGAGAGAGAGAGAGAGAGAGAGAGAGAGAGAGAGAGAGAGAGACTGTTCTAATGAACTGTTGTTCCAAACATCTGCTACTGTTGTTCTTGTGGAGAAACCCCAAAACATCCTGTTACTGCCTCTAAATTGTAAGATTTCCTGGATAAATCTGAATAAAAATCAAGCAATTGAATTTATGAAATGCCAAGAAGATATCATCAAACTGAAACTGCAAACACAAATCTTATATTTTAAGCAAAGATGTTCTCTTCAACCTGATAATATGAAGGGATGTTTTGACAAAAGCATAGGCCTATGATTTTCAAAAATTGACAAATAGAATATACGACTGGGGTCCTGGATCAGTATTAGGCTGGCATAGAATGACCAAGATCCTGCATTGAACTCCTAGCACTGACAATGGAACGCAAAAAAAGTAAACACATATAAATTATAAAACCCAAACTGATCTCAGTGAATGGTAATATAAAATTAAAGATTCCTTAGGGGGAATAGTCATTCAGTTTCCCTCCCTGAATTTCAACAAGCACATTTCTGGAAAGAGCTAAAACTCTTTAACCTGAGAAGCTGCGAGTGACATGGGAACCAATCAGCTTAAAGACATTCTACGCACTACCCTGTTGCAGGCCAATCCTCTTTTAAGTTTGGGTTGTGTTCACATACACAATCTTAAAATAATATCCTAACAGTCGCATAAAGAAAACATGAGGATAACTTAATAAAAACTTAGAAAAAAACACAATAAGGGAGATTCATTTAACTAATTACCATGGATTACAAATAGACACGGGGACGATTCCAGATGAACTTCAACAGCGATAAACAGCTCTTCAACGGAAAAGGTGGGTGGCTCTGAAAAGAGCCTTTGGGTTCAGCTTAGTACTGTTTCTAAGAGTTTACGCCCTCTCCCCGCGGATGCGGCGGGCCAGCTGGATGTCCTTGGGCATGATGGTGACGCGCTTGGCGTGGATGGCGCACAGGTTGGTGTCCTCGAACAGCCCCACCAGGTAGGCCTCGCTGGCCTCCTGCAGCGCCATGACGGCCGAGCTCTGGAAGCGCAGGTCGGTCTTGAAGTCCTGCGCGATCTCGCGCACCAGGCGCTGGAAGGGCAGCTTGCGGATCAGCAGCTCGGTGGACTTCTGGTAGCGGCGGATCTCGCGCAGCGCCACGGTGCCGGGCCGGTAGCGGTGAGGCTTCTTGACGCCGCCGGTGGCCGGGGCGCTCTTGCGAGCGGCCTTGGTGGCCAGCTGCTTGCGTGGGGCCTTGCCGCCGGTAGACTTACGGGCCGTTTGCTTTGTACGGGCCATTACAATCGAAAAGAAACTGTACTTAATGGAAAACTGAATGCTTACGACTTGCTACCTGTGTATATATAAAGAGAGGCACCTTCTGATTGGGCCACGCAGTCGTTACCTTGCAGCTAGCAGCAAAGGTATTGGTGGCGACATCCACTTCCTGATCACATGAACACTCTAAGGGTTTAACCATATATTAACATCTTCCTGACTCTCCCTAATTGTTTTCAACTCTTGCTCGCCTGTACTATCCTGAGAGCCTTTCAGATGCTTTCTCTGCTCTCTGCATTGAGATGACATGTTGCTTGCTGAACAAAATTCTTCAATTTTAAATTTGGCGCCAGAAATCCATTTTATCAACTTTTGAAAAGGGCACACTAAAATGTGATCAGGCAATTCTCATTCTCCTGCAAAAATTATATTTACATAAAAATCCTAATGTTGATTTAAACTTCCAGGTTTCTAAAATGCATCATGATCTTTTAGTATGAAATTCTCAAAACACCATTAACACTACCGTATGTTTACTACTTTAATACCACCCACGGGAACTACTATGGAAAATAATCCTGCTATTACCAATTTGATTGAACAGCCTTAGGCAACATTTTAAGTCACAGAAGGAAAGCATGGGATGCTATTACAACAAAGCAGCATTTAACCTGTGGCTTTATTGCTGTCACGAAATAAACTTCCAAATGCAAGTCTAACCACTAAGGTTGCCACTTGAATTTCCGCTAAGATCGAATTGCCTAACATGCAAACATGTAGCAGTCTTAAATTTACACTTCTCAGATACCCACGCGTACCATGCTCAAAGTGATTACTTTGACAGACACATTCACGATAACGTTTTTCAGGTAAGTGGAAGCCCTTTGAATGATTATGTAAGTGGCTCTTAAAAGAGCCTTTGGTTATGCATGACTGGACATCAAAAATTCCAGCTTTCCATTTACTTGCCCTTAGCCTTATGGTGGCTCTCGGTCTTCTTGGGCAGCAGCACCGCCTGAATGTTGGGCAGGACGCCGCCCTGAGCGATGGTCACACGGCCCAGCAGCTTGTTGAGCTCCTCGTCGTTGCGGATGGCCAGCTGCAGGTGGCGAGGGATGATACGCGTCTTCTTGTTGTCGCGGGCAGCGTTGCCAGCCAGCTCCAAGATCTCGGCGGTCAGATACTCCAGTACAGCGGCCAGGTAGACAGGAGCGCCGGCCCCAACTCGCTCAGAGTAGTTGCCTTTGCGTAGAAGTCGATGCACACGACCCACGGGGAACTGAAGACCTGCTCGGGAAGAGCGAGTCTTGGCCTTGGCCCGCGCCTTGCCGCCCTGTTTGCCACGTCCGGACATGTTAAAGCTACTCAAGATGCTGCTTCACCAAAAAAGAAAAACCTTCTTTAAGTTCTGGGGCTACTGAGAATCTCTTATACATGTAAACCGGATTGTAAGCTCCGCTCGGTGATTGGTTAAATTAATGTGTACGATTTAGACCAATTGGAAAGATGATATACAATCCCTTAATTTGCATAGGACCAAAGTACTCCTGAAAATTATCCAATCAAAGCATAAACTGTACAGACGTATTGGCATAGAACAGTCCATACTCATGCATCGCATGAGACTCATTTATATATATATATATATATATATATATCTTTTGCCATGCCTGAGCCAGCAAAGTCCGCTCCTGCCCCAAAAAAGGGTTCTAAAAAGGCGGTGACCAAGGCGCAGAAGAGGGACGGCAAGAAGCACAAGCTACTCCTACGTGTACAAGGTGCTCAAGCAGGTGCTCCCAGACACCGGCATCTCGTCTAAGGCCATGGGCATCATGAACTACAACAAGCGCTCGACCATCACCCCAAAGGGTCTTTTTCTACTCTGGTATCCAAAGGGTTAACTTTTGGTAACATTTCTTGGCTATCATGTGGATTCTTGAAATTTAATGAAAAGGTTGTTAATGTGTTTCAGTTGCATTTGCATAATTTCCTGGCAATTCCTGGACAAAGTAACTTGCAAAGATTGACAAGTCTGGGTCAAACTGGATCAGAGTTGTTCTCCAATCTGAAACCATCTCATTTCACAGCATGTATCGGAGTGCAAATACATCTACAACTCTTCCTGTGAAGACATGTGGCTCTGAAAAGAGCCTTTGGTTTGTTGGAAGTACAAACTGCTCACTTGGAGCTGGTGTACTTAGTGACCGCCTTGGTGCCCTCCGACACGGCGTGCTTGGCCAGCTCCCCGGGCAGCAGCAGGCGCACGGCCGTCTGGATCTCCCGGGACGTGATGGTCGAGCGCTTGTTGTAGTGCGCCAGGCGCGAGGCCTCGCCCGCGATGCGCTCGAAGATGTCGTTCACGAACGAGTTCATGATGCCCATGGCCTTGGACGAGATGCCGGTGTCGGGGTGCACCTGCTTGAGCACCTTGTACACGTACACCGAGTAGCTCTCCTTGCGGCTGCGCTTGCGCTTCTTGCCGTCCTTCTTCTGCGCCTTGGTCACCGCCTTCTTGGAGCCCTTCTTCGGAGCAGGAGCGGACTTTGCAGGCTCAGGCATTTCGCTGGGAATTACACGCAACAAGAAAGGAAAAAGAAACACAGAGATGGAGTCTGTTTGGGGCCTCTTCTTTTATAGGGCTTGTATGCAAATAAGGGATTGAAAAACTTTTAGATGTGATTTGAAAATCTAGTGATGACGGAACATATGCAAATTTGATTGCATCATAGTTCCTTTCTTATTGGGTGAATAGCAAATGAAAATTTTAACCAATCCAAATTCGCCATTTCCAATTCTACCTACCACTATAAGTGGCTTCTTGTAGCTTCACTTACACCATTTCATTTTTGCTTTTCCTCAGATTGTTTGTTGGTTGTGTCCCGAACCAGAATGTCTGGACGCGGAAAACAGGGCGGCAAGGCGCGGGCCAAGGCCAAGACTCGCTCTTCCCGAGCCGGTCTTCAGTTTCCAGTGGGTCGTGTGCATCGGCTGCTACGAAAAGGCAACTACTCGGAGCGGGTGGGCGCCGGTGCGCCGGTCTACCTGGCCGCTGTGCTCGAGTACCTGACGGCCGAGATCCTGGAGCTGGCGGGCAACGCGGCCCGCGACAACAAGAAGACGCGCATCATCCCTCGTCACCTGCAGCTGGCCATCCGCAACGATGAGGAGCTCAACAAGCTGTTGGGCCGTGTGACCATCGCTCAGGGCGGCGTCCTGCCCAACATCCAGGCGGTGTTGCTGCCCAAGAAGACCGAGAGCCACCATAAGGCCAAGGGAAAGTGAGAAGCCTAGAATTTTTGCAGTACTTCTTATTCTCCGAAATCAAAGGCTCTTTTCAGAGCCACCCACTAATTCTTTTAAAAGTGCTGGAATACGTTAAGCCTAAATGTTTAGGCTTCATTTTTCATTTTACTGTATTTCTGGAGCTACAATTAATAGATCCCAACACTAGAGGAAAGTGCTCGTTTTTGACTCTGCAACAGTGCATTGTGTTTAATTATATTTTATGATTCAAACACTAAAAGTAGGAGGGAAAACTCGGTTCCTGGTACCCCAATTCCTATAGAGAAGTGTCATGCATTATTGTTAGAAAAGAATTATTAAAAATAAGAACGAGAACAAAGAGAAAAGCTACCCAATCACTTTGCAGGGCGGGTTTTTTGAATTACCAAGAAGGCGCCAAGTCCCTAGGCTGCCTACATCATAGGTTTTATCCAGGACACAATGTGCATGGTATCCCATCCAAGAGGGCCCTTTCATACCAAGAACATCTAGTGTGCTTGCTGCATCTGATGTCAGAATAATTCAAATATACTATTTCCCCAGAACTGAAAAAAAAGGTTCATCAGAGGGATCATTCCGTTTTCACAATGAAAACTGTTGTAACACTTTTGCCTGTTTTTTTTTTTTTTTTTTTTTTTTTTGGGGGGGGGGACAGAATGCATGAAGTTTTACGAATTTAAATGATAAGTATACACATGGGTTTTCTAGCTGGACCCCTGTTTGTGAGTTAACAATGTGATGGTGTGCAATGTATTTAGGAAATCCTTTTTTTTTTTTTTTGGAAGATTTGCTTTCAAACTAGACAGCTGGATTTGTAGCTGAAGGCTCAGTCATTTGTGGAGTGGTTTCTATTCTAAGTGGTAATTTTTAAAAGTGGTTGAAGCCAGAATTAGGCAGTCAGTACAGATAGGTAAATCGAGTCAGGTTGGATCTAGGAGCCTTCCCCTAGGAGCCTTCTGAGCCTTCCCCTTTCAGCACACCTGTTTCCCACCTTTTGGCCATCCCACCAAGCATTCCCGGAGGTAGTCACCTACACGGGAAGGAGAGAGATAAGCGGAAGAGAGCAGAAGAAAGGAATCCTAGGACATATAAAAAGGGCAGAACGCCTGGCTTCTTTTCCCTTCCAAGAGAAGTCTAAGTCACTCCTTCTTAAATATACCTGGGTTTATATGCTTGCCTCAGTGTGCTTCTCTAATGTTCACACTTCAACAGGTGAGGAAGCAGAACTCATCACCAATAACCAGTGATATCAAGATTGCTATTGCTGACAAGAAGGCATTCCACCTGACATCTGTATATACAATGCAAAATGTGTGTGTGTGTGTGTGTGTGTGTAACATGTGCGATAACCATAATCACTGTGGTCAAAATCCGTGAAAATCAGATGAAAGGAATTCTTGATAGTCCTAGAAACATCGGCATATGCCACAGAAACCTAAAAATCAAGTACTTGCTTTTTTTCATAATCAAAAAAAAAAAATGGTCTCTTATACCATTACCATATGACAGTTATCAAAGTATAAAATTCACAATAATAAACCAAGTCTCAAATATATAATGAATGTAATAAATGTGGTTTTTGTTGTTGTTGTTTTCTTTTTTGGAGGGGCTATATATGAGATGTTTTTCTACTGCAAAGATATGTGTGCTCTGTAATGGGCAAAAATCATTACAATCATCAATATCCTACAAGTTTATAATTAAAAACACAGAAACAGTGCCCTAATAAAGAGCCAAATGGATGCACATTCCCCAAGCTTTTAAAAGCTTGGGCAGGCCTTTTAGACTATGTGCTCATATGATAGTGAAAGGAAATATAATCCATCCTTTCTCTCAATCCATAGTTTGATTGTTTCTAAAAAGGGTTCAGAACTATTCTCCATAGATCAGAGTCCATACATTCATGTATTTAATGAGCCACTCCTGCTGAAGAAACTGATTTATGGCTTCACTTTAATCTTCTCATCATGTTGTTATCAATGATGTCTTGAGATGACCTTCAGAACAAGTGTTCACTTATGGAAAGAATGTGAAAGGATCAGTACAGATTCTAGCACCTCTTTACCTTCAGTTAATACATATGACACCTCTTAAATTTTTGTTTTTTGAAGGAGGGAGATGGATAAAGCTGAGGATCAAACCCTGCAGAGCCTCTTACATCCTAGGCAAGTAAGTGCTCTACCACCAAGCCACATTCCCAGCCCCATGTCTACTATTTTAGAAGAGCTTACTCTTACTAGAAATAAAAACAAATAAAATGGAAAAATTGCAAGATATATTTCTGTGGATTCTCATGGTATAGCTCCTTGATATCCTTCCTATACTCATTTATCACATAGCACAATATTTCATTTGTCATTCTTTCTGGACTCCAAAGAAATCAACCTGGCTTTCTTATCTCATTCTTAGCTTCAAAAGGCTTTCAGGAATAGTAAAAAGCTTCAGACTTTCTTTTTGTTTTCAAATAGTTTTTTTTTTTTTGGTTTGTTTGTTGGGGGGGGGGGCGGTTGTTTTTTTTTTTTTTTTTTTTTTTTTTTTTTATAAAATGACTTTGTGCTTCCCCAATGACTACTACTTCTAACCTACAGAACTTTTATTGTATATATTTAAGCTTGAACTTTCATAGACACCAATTGTTTTAAGAATCAGTTTTGGATGCTCACACTTTCAAGGGCAAAAGTATAGTCTCCTTCTATGGACACTCTACCTTTGAATAATTCAAATGCTAATAATTTTTCTGGCTGTCCATTATCCTTGCCTTGATGAGTAATGATATATTTGACAAGACAAATATAATGATATATTTTCCAGCACAAGCGATTTTTTTATGTTTCATTCTGTCTTCAATCCAGTATCATATTAAATCTCATTGAATCATTCAAAATCCAGTGTTTTGAAACCTATGCCATCAGCATTTAATAAGAAACCCCAAACACAGGAGGAAAGGAGGAGTCCTGACACTACTACTATGGAAAACAAAATCAATACCAAACATTTTTTTTATTGAAATATTTCACACTTTCTGCAGATCTTCATTTGGTGTATATTTTACTCAAATAATATTTACATTTTATTGGAGGTAACTTTGTATCAGCCTTAAAATTACAACCATACAGTAATTTCATGAGTTGCTCAAATATACCTGATATTTTCCAATTAATGCAGAGTAGCTTTTTAAATTACATCACATTAAAAAAATTCAGTCCTCAGGAGCAACATCCATATTCCCAATGTTACAAGTCGCTCTACTTTATCAGACAGTGGAAATCCAAGGAGGTGTGGAGGTGGTCATAAGAAGTGATTAAATAAATTTAAATGTGATCACGAAAATTTCACAATGACTTTTTAAATCAAAATTTTACACAAACACAGAGATGGGAATTAGGATAGCAACTGAAGGTAGAGCCAGGCTGCCAAAGACTTTAGGAAGAGATTCAAGAGTACTAAAGTAGAAGTCCATCTGTGGGCCCACAGACTTCGTTCCTATAGTGGATCTCAGTTCAGTTCTCACTCCCTAGGGCATTGTAACAGTGTCAATAACCCTTTCGATTTGATCCAAAGTGAACAGTTTCTTTTAAATTGGAGAGAAGCAAGTAAATCATGCATATTCGTCATGACAAAGTGTATTTATAAAAATTCATCCACAACCCTAAGCATGGCTTCAATCCTACCAGTACTTTTAGGTTTCGGAATCAATGGGCAAGAAGGAACACACTGCACTCTTTGTCTCCTCCTCCCTCTGCCTATGGGCTTCGCAAGCACTGTGGGCGGTGACCAATGATTTTGGAACCATCCTCTCACTCTTTCCCGCCCTCATGTCTGGTTTTCAATAAGGTCCGCAGGAGGACTATAAACATACGTTTTGCAGCATTGTGAATTACTTGTCCCCAACTTTTAACCATGTCCGGTCGTGGGAAAGGAGGCAAAGGCCTGGGCAAAGGCGGCGCCAAGCGCCACCGCAAAGTCCTGCGCGACAACATCCAGGGCATCACCAAGCCCGCCATCCGCCGCCTGGCCCGCCGTGGCGGCGTCAAGCGCATCTCCGGGCTCATCTACGAGGAGACCCGCGGCGTGCTCAAGGTGTTCCTGGAGAACGTGATCCGCGACGCCGTCACCTACACGGAGCACGCCAAGCGCAAGACGGTCACGGCCATGGACGTGGTCTACGCGCTCAAGCGCCAGGGCCGCACCCTCTACGGCTTCGGGGGTTGAGTTTCACCAGCGCCTACCGAGAAAAAAAACTCTGAACGGTCCTTTTCAGGGCCACATTACTTTTCACTCTAAAGGGCTGTGGAGTTGCTTTGCTTTTCTCCTGCAATTGAAAATAAGGTAATTCAGAGGGTGTACTGCTCTTGTCCTAATTTGTTACATCAACTACTATAATTGTTTACTCCTTGTTAATGCGGTCACTTTCGGGAGTGAACCCTTGCCAATGAGTCGCAGTGGGATTGGTCTGTAGAATCTCAGCTGGGAGTCAACCGGTAAAAGCTTCAAGTTGTCCAAGGTTCAGGAAACAAGCAGCTTGTTAACCCACATGTTATTTCTCCTTTGCTCCATGATATTTTATAAGCCATAGCTTTAGTTTCCTCAAAGTTTTGGGTATTTTTGTCAGCTATAAAAGCAAAACAGTTGCTTGGCTATAGCATAATTTTAGCAACTAGAAAATAAATTTTGAAATACTCCTAAGGAAGAGTCAGGTAAAGCTCTTCTTCTGTATCTTGGCCTTGAAAGGCAGCAGAATATGCCAGACCAAAACATGCCATCTAGGAGTAAGGATATAGAACAAAATTGGGAGTGGGAGGGTAGACAGGTTTTAGGCACTCTCCCCTGGCCTCTACTTTCTCTGCCCAAAATCAGGGAGATAACCCTCCATAGGTAACATGCCCTTCCTATACCTGAATGAAAGTATTTTATTACCATCGTTAGGCCTGTGAAGAGGAATCTGTACTAAACAAGCCTTATTGAAGAAATGCTTAACATCCAAAGTAAGTACTGTGCCACCATTAATTACCTTAGCACAAATCCCTTTTTTTTTTTTTTTTTTTTAATATTTTTTAGTTTTAGATGGACACAATATCTTTATTTTTATGTGGTGTTGAGGATCTAACCCAGCACCCTGTGCATACCAGGAGAGTGCACTACTGCTTGAGCCACATCCCCAGCCCACAAACCCCCTTTTTATGTCTTCATCATTTACTATTCTGTCAATTTCAGTATTTAAGCATTCAATTTCTACGTATGCCTATGGGTCTTAATTTTTATGATCTCACATGTCATGGAATAAATGTGTATCTTTCTCTTGATAATCTTTGATAACATGGATCTCATCCAAGAAAACAGGAGGTTAAAAATGAAATGGAGATTTTTTTTTTTTTTTCATGTCCTAGTTTTTACAAGAGGTCACTGGCAGTACCCCATTACAGGCACCTTCAACTGGTGCACTTCACCTCACCTC